AAAAAAAATTTGACATGAACAGGTTTTTATTAATTTTACTATGTAATTTATTGTAAATTAAGTAAAATTAATAAAAATCTGTTTACACCAAATTTTTTTAAACAGAATGAAATAAAGAAATTAAATTTTAAAGTTTAAATTTTATTGTCATTTCATTCTGTTCAAAAAAAATTTGACATGAACAGGTTTTTATTAATTTTACTATGTAATTTATTGTAAATTAAGTAAAATTAATAAAAACCTGTTTACACCAAATTTTTTTGACAGAATGAAATAACAAAAAAATTTAAACTTTAAAAATTAATTTCTCAATAACTATCTCATTAAATTGAGTCAAATTTTTGTACTAGTATGAAAATCATTAAACTTTAATATACTAAACATTTAGAATTTTTAAATATAATTCTGATTTTTTATTAATTTTTAATTGAACTCAATAAATTTTTTAATTTTTTATAAAAAAAATTATTCAAAGCTTTAACTTTCATCTAAATTTTTTTCTAGTAATTGAAAAATTACTTATACTATCTCTTGTTTGATTCAATTTATAATGCATAAATATAGAGGGTTTAAATACTGTAGATCACTTTCTAGATAGTTATAAGTATAATAACTAATATAAAACCTATAAAATAAAACCTGTGGGTAAACTATTTAAATAGACAACCAAAAATTGCAGATATGACTAGTTATACTCTTCAAATAAATATTAATATTGTAACCAAAATCATTGTATAAGTAGCATTTTGAACTAAATAAAAGCTATCAAGCAAAAGATCACCTTAATACCAAAAAAAAATTAATTAATTGCAACTAATCAATTACAACTAGTTGACCAACTAAAACAATAATTAGTACGTTTTTAGTTTTTTTTTTTTTTTTGTTTTGTCTTATCGAGCTTATCAAATTTTCTATAAACTATTAATAAATTATCACAGTTTTCCCGCTTTAAACAACCCCATACCTGGTAAAATCCCTAACTGGAATTATGTTACTCAAAATAATTGGAATATTCGAATCATTCAAATTGTGGTATTATGGCCGTTTTCGAATTAGTGCATATTACCAATGTAATATGCAGTATTCACAGGATTCATAAAATTATATGGTCGTACTAATTCGAAGACAGTGACAAATATTAGTAATACTGTATTACAATAGAATATTTGGATTTTTCTGAATATTCGAATTTTGCGAACATGGTTTGATTAAAATTAAAGTTGGACAAAACACTTTTCGTTTACGTACGTAACTTTCAATTTTTTATTTTTTAAATTTTCTATTTTAACATTTTTATTTATTGTTTTTTTAACGCTTTTCATTATGTTTCAAATTTGGATATCATTTAAAACTATTAAATTTCTTAATTTGGGGATGGCTAAATCCGTATCATATCAGTACGTATGTATCATTACAGCATTACCATAATCGTTTCTTGATTGAGGTCAATGTGATTTCTTAATTCTGCTAGGGGACCGTGTGAGTCCTCTGTAGCAAAGTAAAAAGGGGAACTATGTACATCCAAGAATGCGAGAATTGATATATGCTTCTACTCCATTGTGGAGACGGGACTTCAGTTTTCAAAGGTTTTAAAGATTGTATTCATGAATTTTGCTATACTGTACCTTGTTAATATAAATCTATTTTGAAATCCAATGCGTCAATTTTTTTATTCATTCATTTCCTTTATTCAATTATTTACATAGTTTGTTTTTTATGATTCAAATTGGCTTTGTTTTGTTCGAATCTGCCTTAGTTGGTTCAATATTTTCTACTACCGTAGTGCACTGGCCAAAGTATTCGGGGTCAAATACAAACTAACCAAAAAAAACTTGTGGGTATCTTGAGTATCTTGTATGGGGGTATTTTGTACGGTCTTATATATGTAATCAGAAATCAATATAGCTTTAATAAATACAGTATTAAGCTCAGATGAAAGTAAGAGTTCGAAAGTGTTAACTATATAAAAAATCCTATTGTCAAATTTTTGAAATAACGATATTTAAAACCGGATAAACCGGATATATTACTCCGTGATGACAAACCGTGCGACTAACACGTATAATTCTGTTCATAAAATTATGATTAATTCTCATTGAAAATTGTGAATCTTTGTACTATTTTTCAACTGCTTTATGTACTATTTTTCAACTGCTTTATGTAACGTGAAGTGATTGCTTTGTATAATGCAAACAGTAATAAAAATTTTTCACACATAAAAATGTCAATAATCACATTGACAAAAATTGGAAGTGAAATTAGGTCTTCTGATAACCCACGTTTAGAAATCACGCCAGAGAGATTCAAGAAATCACATTCCAGATTTAACCAAACTGGGGAGTCACTTTTAGATGATCAAGAACCTGATCTTGAGGGAAAATAATATGATAAATGTCTGCGCTGTGAGATTGAGAACACTGCCGAAAATTGGTGCGGTTCATGTGCAAAAGAGATTTATATTTCACAATTACCGAATGATTTATTTGGTCACTTAATTCGTCCAAAAAATATAGAAGATAAATCAGAAAAACATTTTTGGCTTCAAAATAACGCCCATGCGCGTCCCGAAATTACGCGCATTTTATGCTTGTTTACAAAAAATGCACCGGAACTAGGTTTTCTTAGTATCAACCTAGCTCCGGAACATTTTTTGTTTGCTTACCATGAAATTATATGAGGAGGATGCATATTCATTAATTACTCGAGATTACTGGGAACCTCCTTGATATAAAAGGCTTACACTTTTATTTAGTTTCAGTGCGTAACTTGTACAGTAATTATTCACAGCAATGGACCGTACATGGCAATTTGTATTCAGGCAATATGCTTCGTGATGGTCATAGTCTTTTTATTGCCGACCTTGGATTATCATATTTTATATGGAAAACAAGGAAAAGACAAGAAACAAGAAGTTCAAGGAACAGTATACGGTATTTTACCATATGTAGCGCAGAAGTATTAAAAGGAGAACGACTTTACACCCGCAGCAGATATTTATAATTTTGCAATGATAATGTATGAAATGGTAATAGGCCGCCGACCGTTGTGGGATAGATCCTACGATCAATATCTCGGCTTAGACATTTATTTAGGATTGCGTATGTATTAATCTTCTACTAAATGCTAATAAGTTTCTTTAATATTATAATTAGGACCGGAGATTCCAAAACACACACCAACTGCATATGCTGAGTTAATTACTCGATGCTGGGATTCAAATCCAGATAAGCGATTAAATGCTTATGAAGTTTGTACAAATATTGGTCGATTAACAGATATGGCATTGGATTATAATCGCAGTCTTTTTGTAGGTAAAAAGGTGAATTTAAAATTCCAAGTGCGGATGAACTTTTAAAATATTTCATTAGACTCAAAATAGCCGACAAGTTCGATGAATTTTTGATTTCCTTAAAGATGACTGTTAGAGCCACCTCCGGAAAAAACACTTGAAAAGTCTATTTCTGGTCAAACATTTGATCATTTTGTTTTTATCACAATTTAAATTCAATCTCTTTCAAATCAATGCTTAACTTTATTCACTGTACACAACCTTTAATTAAAATATCAATATAAGATAGTATTTTAATTTGAATGACTATCGCCCGAGTTTATTCGTGATCCGGATCCTTACGAGTATTACTTTCTCCTTCCGAGCAGTGTCTGAAATTGGGTTGCGGAGCTTGCGGACCGCAAATGATTTATAAGATTCCGCAACTAAAATCCGAAATGTATATGCTGATTCCGCAACTAAAATCCGAAATGTATATGCTGATTCCGCAAATGAATTTGTGAATTTAATATAGAAATGTTCGAATTTGCATATAAATACATTCATATGCGCAACTAAATCCATATAATCCGCAAGTAAAGTTTTTTATTTAGTTGCAGCCCGCAACTAAATTAAAAATTGAATTTCAGACACTGCTTCCGAGTCTTGGAAATTCTATTTATACAAGAAGCTATTGGTGCTTTTTTTTTTTACTTTAATTAATGATAATTAAAATAATAAATATGTTTTTCAAATATTTTTTTTTTTTTGGAACGCTTAGTTTTTGATGATAGATACTTCTTTATTGCAGTAAGTAATCATTCATAAAATACCTTTTTGAAGCAAAATTTTATTTTTGACTTATATAATTTTAAAAATGTCGGCATTAAACATTCCACGGCTCCTAACTGGTAAACATTTCTGACGAGTGAAAATATAAAAAAAATTTCCATAGGGCTATGGGAGTTTAAAAGATCCTACTTCTATTTTAAAAATTCTGACTCAGGCGCACATGTTAACGTTTTTTTTACCTCAACGATTATGTAAATAAGTTTATACGTTTAAAAAATTATGGATCACACGCTTTGACGTAAATATATCACTTATTTTATCTGAGAATCGGATACCAAAAATCAATAATTCTGAAAACCCCCTATTATGCGATTATTACGACATATAACACTCAACACTTGAAAGTATGTAGTATAAACTCTTGAACAAAGATATTCTCAACAACTAACCATCCAAAATGTTGACTATTCCTAAATCCATTAAATCATCAGAGGCTGTAGTCATAATATTTTCGTTTAACTGGAATTTGGTAATGCGTATGTACTAATAGTATTGAGTATATATGTTGTAAGTGGGAAATCAATGGAATAGTTATACTAAAAATCTCAACCCAAGCCTTAAAAATTCCGAATCAACTTAAATTCTGTTCCCATTTATGACATATATATATATGAGTTTGCAAAATAAAAAAAGCCCAGTTGATTAATAAAATCGGTATTAAAATTATACCGAAACCCCGAAAAGAATTTCAGATATGTTAAAGTTAGAATATCATTACGCGTGTTTGTCAAGTTTAGATTCCCAATTTAAATTTTAGTGACACAATTTATTATTAATTTTTTAAGATTGAACCCCCTCTAAAAAAATTATCGTTACTCGGATCTATAATAACAATGCGATCTAACCCATTTTCCCATGCGTCTAACCCATTTTTCCCATTAGTGTTAACGCAACCCATTTTTAAATTTCCGTACAAAACCCATTTTAAATTTCCGTACAATTCAGATAACCCGTTTTAAATTTATTACATATAATTTATATGTACGAACGTACAATTTAATAATTTGCAATGACTGTCAATAACATTGACAGTATTTTATAGACAACAGAAAATTTAAAAAGTATATTATCGTTAATATATGTGAAGTCAAAATTTTTATATTTTGGGGTATTTTACAAATGCACCCTTTCCTTGACAAAATTCATTTAAAAGTTAAAATACTATATCGATATCAAGATCCCGGGTATTTCTATTACTAATTTACTGTATACAATATAATAATAAAGAAAGAAAAAAACTGGACAAATTTAGTTCTTTTATGACTCAATAATCGTATTCGAGATTCTAAAATTTAATGGTACGTACAAAAAAATTCTCACAAAGCCACCTTCAGGGTCACGGGGTATCCATCTGAATATGGTATAAGACAAGAATGGATATTATGACTAAAATACCTTGTGATTTTTCTCGAATGGCACAAAAATCTCTCACAGGATCATGAGATCCACATTCACAGGATCATGAGATGTCTTAACTCATGAAATTATTCAAAGTTTATCATTATAAAAATTATGTACTAAAGAAGATCCACATTGACCTACCAAATTTTTTTCCTAATATACCGAATAGATTGGGTCTGATAATGTCCTTTAATTTGAATATAATCCTAATTTATGTATTTTACTAGAATGTGTATTCGTATTCAATTAATTACTAATCTAATTTTATTTCATTCTTAAAATAAACTAGTCTTAATCATAAAAAGTAAAATAATGTATAAAAGTTTGCTCTAAATATATACTAATTTTATCAATACTTTAAACTACATACAACACTATATATAAATGGAACAAAGTAACTATTCGTTAAATAACGGAACTGTTTCGTCTGGTTCAGTCACGTACCTAAAAAAATTGTTATTGATAAGAAAATAAATAACTAATAATACTATTATTTTTAAAAAATATAGATTGCCTAAACTCACCTTAACCTTGATCTTCCTTTTCCTTTTCCTTTTTCACTATTCCATCTTTCAGATCCATACAATGCAAGTGAACCAGCTGGACTTGTTACTATACCTAGTCCCAAGAATTTCCAAAATGCTGGTGTGAACTTTGCTCCCTCAACCAAATACACCCAATAAGCCATACTCATTGCTAACCCTACGGTGTCGATTAGCATAAAATCAGTTGCTGCTGCTAATTCTTGATTTCTTAATTGTTCTAAAAGAGTGCTTAGGTACGCAGAGTTGTGATCTATGCCTTTAATTTCAATCATTAATGTTTAGATTATCGTATGAAATTTGTGATTAGCATTTAATTAGTAGTATGACTCTCGATATAGTGATGTCATAAAAAAGTCTTGGCTAAATTTATATCAAGAACATTATATATACACTGTATACACTTTACTATATAGAAATGTAATTTAAGTAATATCTTAATAATAAAGAATCACTATATTAAAAATTCCCTATAACGAGAGTGATTTATACAAATAACAATAATGAATATACTTACAATATGCAACAAAAGATATCCACGAATACAAACAGATACCGAACAAAATAAGGTAATAATTCGATGCTCGCTTATATCCTTCGTTAGTCGACACAGAATTTTTAATTGCTCCTTGAGGTGTCCAAAACCAGAACATAAAAGCGAGCACTGGTGAGATCTAACAATAAAATAATATTGAATACATTAAATGTTTATGAATGTTAAAATACATAAATACATTTTGAATTATAAGAATCAAATGATTAATTAGTTTTAAATCATTTCTTTGATATTTCACCTGAAAGAATACAATACTCCAGAATTGATATTTCGGATCGGTAACCAATGACATAATGACCAAACTAGAAAAGACCACACAAATAATACCCAAAAATATTCTGGTTACTCGATCAGGATTCAATGGAAGTACTGCATCAGCAGCCGCTGCTGGAGGTGCTTCGATATCTTGCCGGTTTTCTTCTACAACAACTATTACATTAGATTCTTCTTTTTTAATCTCTGATATAACCCATGCGGCAATCCTTTATATAATTAATTAATGTAGTAAAAATTTATTAACCCGGTTAAACAAACGTAAACATTTATAAAATAATAATCATCATACCAGTAAGGAACTGCAGTAGCAATTCCTAAGAGTTGCATCGAGATTGCAACAAATAAGAAATTTGTGAAATAACCATTTACTCCAGGTATCGAGCTCTCCAAAGCTATAGTAAACAAGGTTACAAGTACCATTGGTGTCATGAGGTTGCCGATAATTAGACCAGCTGGGTCAGTGAGAAAATCACTATATTATATTTATTTATTGGTAAATAATTTTATATAATTTTCTGAAAAAAAAACCCCTCCATTCTTCAAGAAAACTTACAAGAAAAATGGTACGATTAAATTCAAAACATTATCGACCCCCAAAAGTCCGGTATATTTTTCCTTTGGATCTAAAAAGAAAGTGAAAAAAGTATTCATATTTGCTCCTTGATATAATAAAATCAATGAGCCGAATACTATTGGAATAGCTGCATGAATTTTTAGGTATTTTGGTTCCATGGTTGTATGTTATCGAAAGAGTCCTTTTGGAGAGGTAATTTTTAAAGTAAAAGCCCTTAAATATTACTCCGATAATTAGTTGGATACAAACAATTTGGATGAAACAGGATTGACACGATAGACAAGCTTAAAATGTAAATGATCTGATTGAGTACTGTTTGTATATAAATTGTTACAATACTATAAATATTACCGTTAGTGCTAGGCCGACTGGGTCCCAATTAATTTATATTTTTATCATCCAGGATTGGGTGACAGCAGCATGGGTTTATTCATTTGTACACTAGTAATATAAATTTAGTAATACGTACAAATTCATAAAAATCTAAAATGAAAAAATTGCTGACTTGTTGATCCTCCCATGACTTATACCCCCCTGACAAATTGGGAGTATAAAATTAACTTGATAACAATATCAATTATCCTTGATTTATATCCCAGCCAAAATACCATTTCCGTTGTAAATATACGTTTCATAATAATGCTTCCATGACAAAATCATGACCATTACATACGTATCATACGTACAGATCTACGGATCAAATGTAACGTGAAATCACACTCCAACAAAAAAAAAAAATAGTTCTTACAAATTTTAGTATGGACTATATTCTGTTCTAACCCTAAAGGTAAGCTTTATTGATACACGTTACACTCGATCTGGTGACCTAATTGGTTAGAATAAGGTGATAGCACATTTTTTCTCCGTGGTTGGTTAGAATTCTATTTTAAACATTAAATTTGTATTCGATTTCATTCGGCTTTGCTCCTTAATGGTTACCCCTTTTTTGGAAGTTTTGTATTACTTTCTTATTTTAGACTAGCCTTCTATGTACTGTATCGGTATCGGTATCATTTGAGACATATGAGCTAATTCGGGACATGCATAAAGTCTAGACTTAATGCCCTAAAAATTGTTTAATGATGGAACAGGTTGT